GGTAAATTACCTGCTTGATCGTAAAGTCATTGATAAGGTGGTGATTATGTTCATTAAGGTTACAGTGCAACGATACACAGTCACTCTGATACAGCAGGTCCTGGAGTGTGTAGACTCTCTGGACTCCCAGGGACCTTTCTATCCCATCCTGCAGGTATGGGTCATAAAATATCACATTGAATCCAAACGCCTTGGCTCGAACTGCCACCGCCTGCGCAGTGCGACCTAAGTGTAAATAGAAAAAGAGGGGGTTTTAACTTGCTGAGTGTCAGAGACCTCAAGCAGCTTGGCACTGTAACGGTACTGCATGGGTACAATGTGAACTGGACAGCAAAGCTGCTGAGTAGCACTAAGTACTCCCAAACTTCTCTCTTCCCAGAATTTGCCATGATGCATTCAAACCACTCTGGTTCACACTGTGCTACTTATTCCCTCTACTGGCTTGGCTGTGCTGGTACTGGCACTGGCTACAGCTGGCAAGGGGCTTTTTAATCAGCCCCACAGCACTTTCCTAATGCATCTCACTCCCAAACAGCACCTAGTCCAGTTGCATTTGGCTTTAGGTAGCAACCAGCTACCCTTAATGGTACTGTGCTCTCTAGAGACGAGCTGTGGGCTTGACCCTGCTCCTATTAGGCAAAATTCCAGCTTCCAGCAATGAGAATGGGTCTCGGCCCACTGTGGGGAATAAGCAAGGGACTGAGATGGTGCGCTTGGAGTGTTTGTGACTGACTTGTGGCAGAAGCCCAGGACACTGACCTGCGGTGTAAGAGAATAAGGTTGCAAGTCTTTACTCTATGAAATTTTAATTACTTATACAATGTGGAAGAGTTTGAGTGAGCTTCCCCCCCATACTCGGTGCCCTCATGGTTAGGTTCCCTTCTGGGAGGTGGAAAACCTGTGGCAAGTCACTGCTCTAAATTAATCAGTGGGGATTCAAACCTGGGTTTTTTGCCTTTGGGAAATGTTTTAATGGAACATGTGCACCGGGGTTGGTGTCTTGCATGGTGCCCACTCCAGTAGGCAGGTACTGGGAACACCTACAAGGCAGAGCCCTGCAGATGGAGGGCCACAGGAGTACCTGGTTGGAAATCCTGCCATACCAAGCAGCCCAAGTAGTGCGTACCTACTGGCAGAAGTAGGTGCTATGGGAACTTTACCAAGGGATATTTAGGCAGCTACTGGTTTAAATGAGTGGAGGTTTCTGAGCATTTTGGTGGCATGGGAAGAATGTTGGAGCTGGGTGCCTGAAGTGGCAGCCAGGTGCTTGGGTGCCCTCCTAGATCTAGCTAGCTGCACAGAAGCAGAGAGATTAGGTAACTCCCTTCAACTCTGACCTCAGTACAGTAGCCTTGAGACTCCTCCCTACAAAAGTGCAGAGTGGAAAGTATCTATTATTGCATTGTAAGCGTGCAACCAGGGGCAGTCCAGCATTAGTGAGGAATCTGTTTCTAAAACGAGGATGCTACTACTTGGGTCTCTCAGGAAGGTGCTACTATGATTTACTGACCTGTGTTTGTAAAGTGCTTTGAGCTGATCCACACTGACATGGGCTCAAATATAACCATGCCAAAGCGTGAACACTCGCCTCCGTGTGCAACCTTGTGTCTCCCTAACCAGGTACTGATATGATTATGCCGAACTCCAGCCCTGAGCCTGGTGACGTACCATTCCATTTAGTACTGGGTTTGGTTGGTGAAAGAACAAACACAAAGGACCCAAGTGAGTTGTATAATGCCCCCCGTATCTCCTTGTTATCACACTGACATCCCTTCCCTACCCACCCCCACCCAAATGCAGACGTGACATCTGTGAGCCTCTAATTCTCAGCATAGACTGTCTAGCTGTTGGCTTAGTTGAAGGTCAAACATAACTGTGTAACAGCGTGGAGCAGGATAAGGTTGCATTCACCTTTACAATATTGGCAGCTAGAGTGTTAAAAGGTAAACCCCAAAGACATGCCTGTTAACTATTTCCCAGCTTATTTAAAGGCCATCATTTGACGAAGCATTGCTCTCTGCATGTACATGGTGCTTGCCTGTTTGCAGCTTTCAGCTGAGTTGCTGATTATGTTGCAACTTGAGAAGCCATAAAAAGAAACAAAAATCCTTTACTGAGACACTTCTGTTCAGCAAAACAATGTGGATTTTTTCCCCAAAAAGTGCCTTAGTTATAAGAGCAACTTGTTTGCTGTAGTTTTTTTTCTTTCCTACTCTTGCTGAATGACTATTTAATTGGGCATGACTAAGACAACTGTCATGGTTTGGAAGCAAAGGTTTAATAAGGCTATTCTGATAAAGAGGGACATCTGCAGTGCAATCAGCAGGTCATTATCCACAATGTCATTCCTATTCAATGTCATTGCCTGGACTCAGCTAACCAACTCCTGCCTTAATACATACTCTTTTAGTCCTTGTTCTTCTGTTCAGAAATGCAGTGAAATCCAAATAAGCAAGCACTGCACATTCATGCTGAAGTGCTCATTAGAATAAGGCTATGTGCGTCCTGGGGTGTGACTGGTTGACACGCTGCCTTTCCGTACAATGCAACCTCCTTGCCCAGACAAGGGACAGGCCCCTGCTCTGTCCCTTTACTGCCTCTGCCTGTCTGGTGTTGGGTTATGCTGAGGTGGGACTTCAGGGCTGGGATGCGACTGCACCCACAATAAGCGGTATGCTTGCAACACCGTTTCCTGCATCAGGCCCTAAAATGAGGACTAATGCTAGGACCATGGAGTAGTCCATTCCATGGAAGTTGGTGCTGTATCTTTGCTCTTAATAGTTTAGCTTTCTTACAGCCAGTTTGAAAGCAAAGGGCTCAATCTATCCTTTGGTTTCCACCTCTGCAATCGCTGGAGTTACAGACGGGATGAAACTAGCTCACTGGAGTAACAGCAGCGTGGCAGCCTGCAGAAGCACAGAAACGAAGGGAAATCTCCAAGCTGCCACCATTGTCAGGTGGAACAGCCAGGAGGGGAGTGCGGGGCCAGACTGGGCTGGACTATGACAGGAGTTTAGCAGGCGCTTTTGCCCGCATGAGGTTTCACAGGTAACTGATGTGGGCAGGATGCCTGCTCCTGCACCTGCTGCCCAGTCAGGCTCTGCACAAGAAACATGCAGCACTTTCACCTGGTTGAAAAGTAGTGTGGCTCTGTGTCTGGGGCAATTTTGGGGCAGCACCTACTCTTTCTGTGCCTACTGGAGCAGCATGATCTGTTCCAGCTGCAGCAATGGCTGTTTTTGTGCCTCTTCCCAAAGGCAGCGCCCAGGGTGGTTGCCCTGGTTCTCTTCTTCCCCTCCCCAGTGATGCTACGCACCAAGGTAAGCTCAGGCAGTGGTTCTTACCAAGGGGCCTGCTGAATTCAGAAAAGTTATGGAGGGTGCCTTGGGTCTAAAAAGGCTGAGTGAGGGCCACTGATCTATATAATGTACTGGGTCAACCTCAGAGCTAGGAGCCATGCCCTCCTGAACTTGGCTCTGCAGGGAACAGTCTTGTGACCCAGGGTAGTTAGTTCTTGTCTTGGCCTCAGCTTCCGTGTTTCTTACAAGGAACACTACTTTTCAGCCTGTTTCAGGGGTGCTGTAATTCGCAAAGGGCTTTGAAGGGGAACAGCACAAAGTAAATGTGTAATAATGGCTGTGAAAACCACTGGACCACACTTCCTAGCTGACATTCTACATCTGGCCTCTGCCTAAGGTGCAGCATGACACTGGCAGGACTTTTAACCCAGGGCTCCCTAAACTTTGTTAGTTTGAGAGGTAGCTCTTGAGGCATCTTTAATACCAGTGACTTCCTCAGAGCTGGTCAGCTCCCAACCCACTGGGCGCATCTACACAAGATGCTTTACTGCACACTAAACCTCTCATGCACATGCTTACTGTGCAATAAACCTCTCTAATCATGAGTAACTTTGCTACCTGCAAATTCTAGCAGCGAATTTACTTTTGATTAGTAACAGTGCAGCGGTGCTTGTGTAGATGCCTGACCAGGACCAAATCTGCTCCAGTCAGCCAGCCACCAGGAGGTGAGAGATTGCTCCCTGCCCCCAGGAGCTGCCTTCTGCTGGGGTGGGCTCCGCTACGGAGCCTGGGCAGGGACTATGTCCCCCCCGACCCCAGCAGCAGTGAGCTCCAAGCTCCCCGCTCCAAGATCATGATTGGGAAGCAGGGGCTGAGAGACCCTTATGTCCCAGTGCCAGATCTGTAGTCGCAGGACCAGTGCTGGGAGAGCCCTTATCTCCCAGCCTGAGCCCCGCTGTTCCCTGCCCAGCTCCACACACATGAAGCTGAGCAGGGAACAGGCTCTGCAGCCTCCACCCTGCAATCATGGAGTGGGGGCTGGGATTGGGTGACTGGAAAGAGCAGTAGGGGTGTGGTAGGTCCCATCTGCCCAGTGGTGATGTGTAGGGGGTGCACACGCACCCCCTGTCAGGTTGCGCTCCCTGCTTAGGTGACAGGCAGGGGGGCAGGTAGGAGCACTGGTGCCTACCCTGCGAGCGCTGGCCGGGAAGCGTGGCCTCCAGCAAAAGCGGCCATGCTGAGTTCGGAAGTGGCTGCGAGACTTTCGGAAGTGACGCGGCTGTTTTTTGGTGAGTAAGATTGCACCCCACTCCCGGTCAGCGTGACCGGCTGCTGGGGGACCCCCCCCTCCACCCTGGTCAGTGAGATTGGCCACGAGGGGGACCCCCCCATTGCTGACTGGTGTCGGGGTGGGCACTTGCCCCCCCTGACTTGAGGCACCAGTCATCCATGGATCTGCTAGTGGGGCAGCTAGCAGTGAACTAGCTGCCCCACCAGCGGATCGGGGTAGAGGGCTGAAACCTACCCCACCCCTGAAGCTCTTTCCATGTCCCCTGCCCCTGATCGGGGAGCCAGGGCCAGGAGCTCCCTGCTGCTGGGGCAGGGGGACATTATCCCCACCCCGGCAGCAGGCAGCACCCGGGGGCAGGTGTAATGTTCCAGCTCAGACCAGGAGTCTCCTAGCCCCGTGCTTCCTGCCAGTTGCTGAGCTAGCACCCCAGGGAAGCCTAGAGCTCCCCCTGGTGGTGGCAGGGGCCATCGACAGGCCACAGGAAGTGGGAGAAGTTTGCTGCCATTAGTAGCAAATATGCTCCTGCTTCACAGCACGTGTAGACGCTTGCCTGGGAGTGTTTACTTGCTAGTAGTTACTTGTGAGTAAACTGATCTGCAATCAAATGCATGTATAGATACGCCCACTGCTAGGGTGTGGTTCATCTCTGCATGGCTATGGAAAGGGGAGTAGGACCCAACACTTTGCAACTTGCCCAGGCATGAGTGGTTACTGCAGAAAAGTAAGGAACTACAACCTAAATTGCTTAGATCTCCTAAAGCTGCCACTCTACAGCTAATGTGCCGACTGGAGGACTATCTAACTGATTCCTTAACTAGGCACATGTCACCAGTCTGGGCCAAACCCTGCAGCAGGTTGAGAGTATGCCTAAGTCAGACAGCCCTCACAGAAGCTAGCCAAGGGACAGTCTCTGCATATGCTTCCACTACCCCCCACACCTGGCAGACGATTCTAGTGGTTAAGGCAGTGGAGACCTGATATTAGACACCTGATACTGGAGACCTAGATACAGTGCACCCCGATTTTGCAGCAAGGACCTGACCCAAAATCTCCACATCTGCAGCATGTATGCTGACCTGCAGAGGCAGTCATCCTCACCTGTGCTTGCGGGGAGGAAGGGGGTCAACCTGAGCAGGGGGAGGCAACTGCTTGGTCAGTGGCGGGTTACTTGCTGGCCAAGTCAGCCGCTTAGGTACTGATGACTTGCCCCTCTACTGCATTCTGCTCCTGAAGCTTAGGCAGCTCCCTGCTTAGCAAGCTTCTGAGGCTCCCCCTTCCTTAGATGCTACACAATCTCCTGGCACTGTGTGGACAGCATAGCTGCCTAACCAGGGCTGGAATAGTCCACTAGGCAGGAGGGTGGTGAAGGGAATAGCACTGTGAGGAACTACCTTCCCACACCTCCCTTCCCCCCAATGCACTGATCAGCAAGGTTTGGGATCTGCTCCTCAAATGGGACTGCTGGGTTGAGTCCCTACTTGAAGAGCTAGTTCTATCACCCAAGGGAGGTGTGGACCTACTGAGCAAAGGTGTTTGTGGCCTAGTCACCAGGAGACAATGATCCTTGCAGTGGGTCTGGGTTCCTTTGTGGGGACAGTTGTAATTTGGGCAGGGCCAGTAGTAAATTATTTCTGAGAAGAGTAAACCTGGAACACAGCAGAAGCTGGGTACAATTCCTTCCTTGGGATGCTTTTGCAACAACTAATTCGTATGTGGGGCAATATTCAGCAATGGTTGATTCAAGTGTTACATTCTTTGGGTGGGTGTAAAACTTAAAACAACAGCCTGGCCCTGCATGTGGCCTGGCCATGGTCTCTGAGGGAATCGCTACTGATCAGATGCTAGAGAAACTGTAAGTTCGATGATTATAGCCTGCTAGCCTTGTATTCTGGAGACCGGAGCATTGGAAGATTTCAGTGTCTTAAAGGCAAGGATCCTCATGGAAAACCTGCAGGAAGAAAGACTAATGCCTGAGAGCTTCACTGGGCTACCAGTGAGAGGAGCGTCTCACCAATGTTCTCCCACTGTGGCTGCAGTTACTCCAAGAAAAGTGCTTCTTTTCAAAGAAATGGCAAGACAAATTATCCTGATACAAACAAACTAAAACCTCATGGCCATTTCTTCGAGATCAACTCTGCTAGAAATGAGAGGCTTCTACGGGGCTTTGTCTGCCATTCTTGCCAACATACCAAATCCAATGAGGCCAAGAGTTTCTCCTCTGATCCGAGCTGCTCCTGAGGCCACCTCTCTTATCTGCTCCACACTCTGCACGCGGGTCCCTTCCCTCAACGCCTGGTAAAGCCACGTGTTCCGTCTGTAGAGGTTCAGGACGTGGCATATGGTGGAGTCAGCAGTCTCTTCCACAGCTGCTGATGGGATATTGCAGACGGCAATCCCTAGGGGAAGACGAAGAAGAAAAAACAAAGTCATGTCTCAGTGATGCACAGTGCCAGCAGCATCCCCAGGCTCTCTCTAATGAAACTAAGCTTGTTTTATAATGCTCCTGGAAATGGCTTGGAACAATTCCTAGTGTAAAGACTTTTTCCCTGCTGCTGTTGGTAGCCCATTTCCCACCCTGCCGCTGAAAGGGACCTGCTCAGAAATACCATGATTGTGAAGGGAACGTTATGGCAAATGCTGCCTTATAGTTAAACTGCTGCCTGCATCATACGTACAGCTGCTCCCTGCAGGCCAGGTTAAGAAAAAGTATATGTAAGAAAACACCATTTATATATTGGACTTGTCTACACGTTAAAGCTAGCTTGGATGAAGACTGAGTGTGAATTTACAAGTGCAGTAGCTATTCTTGATTATCTCCATGTGTGGATACAATTTAAAACTGGATTAAATTACACAGTCTTTTTCTGGCATAAAAGTGTCTACCCACAGTCACTCAGGAGCAGCTATTCTAAAATAACTATGCCTAGCGAAGTCCATCTGTAGAAAAGCTTACAAAAATGGAACAAACTGAAGTCACCTATGTTTTTTTGACAAATTTCTTCCTTGTCATAAATACTTTCCTTTCACTTGTTTGTTCTGAAAGAAGAGTTACCATCTTGGGAGCCCCATTTTGATGCAAAGGGCCTGATGCTGCTGTTCTTACTGAGCAACACTTGCATGAAGAATCACTTGCCGCTAACCTATAGAGGAAGGACCCATGCACCTACTCCCAAGTAAAAGGATCAATCCTAACAACTGGCATTGCACTCGGTTGTCTTTACTTGCATCTCATTCATCTACCAAAAAACCCTTAACTGAAGCCAGCTGCCATGTCAGGGGCTACCAACAATGCCTTACATTAGCACAGCAACTCAGGCAGTAACTAAGTCCCTCCGTGCTGCTAATATACATCAGTCTGTGCTAATTTCCTCTGTAGCTTAGTAATTATTTCATTTTCACTTTAACACCCTTAGTTTGAGAGGGTCTACCTGCAGTTAAGACATTGCCTCAGTGGATCCATCTCAGTATCTGAAAAGAAATTGGAAAGGTGGGAGGGATGGAGGGGGAAGGGACAGAGCTGCCATGGAATGATCCACAGGGTTCAAGAAGCACAGTAACAAGTAGGGAAGAGCAGCAAGAAAGAGCTAGGCAGGCTGCTGAATACATCAGCTCAACAAGCCCCCATCATTAGGTGTAATCTTGAGGACATATGAAAACAGTTAAAAACCACTAGACTTAGAGCTGCAAAACAGTCACAAAAACTGTGCGTTTAATTAAATATGTAAATGAACAACGTAACTGCTAAAATGCCCTCTGAAGTTGTGGTGTTTCCATTCAGTCCCTGTGCTTGCAACATGCTGCATGTGTTTATGTTGAGAATGCATACCCGTCCTGGAGTAGCCGCAGGTTTTGGCAGCTCGGTAAGGACCACCAGTGCTGCTGGCACCTAGGAAGAGGTGAGGTACACAGCACATCTTTAAATCACTTCCACATTTCAGTGCAAATGCCTCATTGAGAAGATGACGAGAGTAGTTCATACCTCCTCTTGGACTGGCTATTCCAAACTGTTTGCAGACAGGAAAACTTGGGTTTTTTTTCCTTCTTTAAACATAGTTTAAACTACAGACTGGATAAGAGTGTGAATGAGGTACAGAAACACTTGCTTTCTTTTTTTTAGCATAGTTCAATGTCAGACTGTAAACTCTTCAGCAAATGATGCCTAGTGTACACGACCTGGGCCACAGAAGTATTGCTATATGGCCTGAAGACATCTGCTCTAACTTATCTCTACACAAGAAATGTAAACTGGTTTGATAAGAAATGAACCAATGCCAGCTCCAGGACTGAATCCTGTACTATCAGGATCCTAGCAATCAGTTCAGCACATTTCAGCCCTTTGAAAGCCCCTGAAAATCTGTCCTGATTGCTCTGGTACAGTTCAATTAACCAGATGGCTGGGAGGGCTCTGGGCTTTAAAGACAAACTCTTCATTAATGTGCTTTCCAAACTTCTCAGGTCCAATGTTATGCATCATGCTGTGCCTAGTTTCAGAGTACTGGATGCAACTTTTAAAACCCCACAGAATGGACTGAAATAGCTTCCCAAAACTACCAGGAATATTAAGCACCAACATGCATTGCAGAGGCCCGGAGTTTGTCTAATCAGAATATTTTGCACTAGCACAATATAATATGCAGTGCTACAGCATGGAGACACGCATGCAAAGATCACTGAGGCATCAACTTCAGTGTTTGTACGACAGTCTAAGTCTCCAAATCTCACTGAAGTAATCAGAGCCTTTCTGCTGACTTCAGTGAGTTGTAGATTGGTCCAGGAGGCATTTATGGGTCTATCAGCCCCCAGCACATGTGTATAACTGCAATTAATATAAAAGCTGTTACACCCACTGAATACCCAGTGGTGGCGGCAGTCCCTCGCTACAAGGATGACAGTGTTCTAGTAAATAGGGAAGTCACTGGTGAGTCTGTAACTGAGGAGGTCAATCCAAGATCTGCATGTTCAACTGAAGATACAGCAAACAGCTCCAGAAGGAAGGAGTAGATCCTAGTGATGTTGGGTCACAGCTCTTTCCTTTTCTCTCTCTTGTCTATCTGTCTCCATAGTGAGATGAATTTGCTCAAAATTATTGGTGCCTTGTTGTTGACATCAAGATGCCCTTGGGGATGGGTCAGTGCTTGACTCTCCCAGGTACTGCTGTTAATATCTCATTCTTCAGACTGGTCTTCAAGGTACCCTTGAAACTTTTCTTTTGCTCCTGAGTGGTGACCATTGGTAAGTGGGATTATAAAGACCCGTTTTAGGAGCTAGTTGTCAGGCATCCTTATGACATGGGTTGTCCAATGGTGCTGGTGCTGTATAAACTTAGTTTCAATGCTAGTGGTGTTTGACCAGAACACTAGTGTTCATTCTTCAATCCTTCTGGCTGGTTTGGAGGACTTTCTGGAGACATTACTAATAGTAACGTTCCAACGCTTTCAGGTGTTTCTGATATGTCATCCAAATTTCACATCCATGCAACAGGGTAGGAATGACAACAGTCTGGTAGACAGGAAGTTTGGTGAGGTTGGAAGTCATGATCAAAATATACTTTGTATGGTCAGGCAGAGTAGGGGGCATGGCATGGGTGGGGAAGAAGCAGGGACTCCCTTGGCATGCAATATGAAGTTAAAGAAAGGTCTTCAAATGTAAATAATCAGGCAGATTTTGTTTACTTGTAAGAGAAAACAGCAAAAAGCTAATCAGTCTGCAAACACACTGGATAGCAGAGTCAAACTGTGAGCAGCATGTCAACAGCTCACAGCTGAATAAAAACATTTTGCAGATAAATGCTTTAGCCAAGTGTCTAATTCAAAATGACTGTTCCAAAGACCTTGTGTTTCTTAGTTTTATTAAGATTTACAATACAGCATTTTGAAGCAATGAATCATGTTAACACCAGCCCATCAGCAAACATGAAAGAGCTGCATACATCTGGCAGTGCATAAAGATCAGTTTGATTTTATATGCTAATGGTATCCATTAGTGGTAAAACAATTTATGTTGCTACTTCCTACATCTAAAAATCTCTGTACCACACAAAAAGGTCAATATATATGACGACTCTTCAACCTAGTTAAGAAGGCTGTACTATTGCTACGGCAGTATTATTGTTCTCAGACACCAGGTGGCACTGTTACACATAATCTTCCAAAATTTTTTTTGGCATATGAGAGGAAGTTTTGCTCCCAGGAAGACGTGCAGGTCATGGTTAGTCTGGCATAATGGAAGGATCTACAGAGAGGCAGTTTTGGGAAAGGAGGAATTGTGCAAGATGCAGCTGTTTGCTCTTCCCTTTAGCTTTTGATTGCTTAAGAAGACAACTGTTCCCTAGGAAACAGGCACTGGTGTTGGACAGAGATTTGTGGCAGAACAGCCTGGCTGCATGCTGTTGACCACACTTGTCCCAGGGCTGATGTATGTGTATAAATGAAACCAGTTATATACAGAATATACCCACAGTGTGACATGGACTTCTTCACTGGGAGGCTGGTGTGCAAGGCCTCGACGCATGCTAACTCTCAGCAGAGGGTCAACAACGGCATCAAAAAAGTCAACATGATATGTTAAACTGTCTGTTAAATTCATGTTTCATACAATAAAAATGCCATCAATAGGAAATAGCCCTATGCAATGGGATTACTGCAGTCTCTATGCCATTCTCAAAGGGCCATACTGAAAGGGATCAAGGGACTCTGATGACTCTATACCAGACCTGTCTGTCTCATCACAACCTTGCCCCGAGAGGTTTGCTCCATGTAAAAATTAGTGAGATTGCAATTAAGAGTAGAGACCCAATTAAGATGAAGTGAGTGGTTGCTTACGAAAGCTTATGCATCTCTGAATCAGTCTATAAGGTGCAACTGTATCCTACCACCTGGTTGATCTTTGGTAGGGAGGAGATAACTGAAACCAGAAAGTGACAGAAATATTAGACATGATGAACACTGATCAAACTCACATAACTGAAGCTGGTTCAATACTTCCAAAATATCTAGAAAGGAAATGCCTTAAATTTGAACAAAGAAGAAATCGTGTTTGTCTCCTGTTTGAATCTGATCATTCTCATCTGTGAACTAAAGCAAGAGCCCTTCACAATAGAAAGACTTTGTTTTGGCACAGAAATAACTTTAATTCACCAAGCTGTCATTCAAAAGGAAGAGGCCATCAGCTTGAACAGCAAAGAGGTTTGTGTTCTGTTATTCTGTTATATATAGCATGGTGCTGAACACCTTCCAATAGAACATTAAGTGCTATGTCTAATGTCTGTCACATCTTCTTGGTCTTCTCATCCTCCCAGAGGGAAAGCAACATTTAATGAACTGTCCTGTTTTGGTAGGTTTGAGTTTTTTAAAATACATATGTTGCTATCTATTATGGTAGGGTCTGAGAGGTCAAA